CCTACTAACCCTACGCTAACTCTTAAGGTGGCTGGAGATCGTCGCGCGATCCCCGATGCCTTTAGTAACGACGGTGATGGTGGCTGGGGCATGGATAGTTTCCTCAGTAATAATCAATTTTATTGACTTACTCATGCTAAATACCATAACGTATCATATTAGAGTCAGATGCTTATACATAAAAAATAATTGTCTTAAATAACAAAATCATAATTTGAATAGAAATAAAAACGATCTAATTCCAAAAAAACTAAACTTTTTTAATGTTTTTGCTTATAATTTGGCATAAGTGATGATAATTATCGTTATAGTAAACTTACTTTTAGCTGAAAAAATGTTAAACATTTACTACTCAAATACTAAATTGTTTTACAATAGAAACCATATAATCAATAGTGCCGTCTCTGAGTACAAACTTGAATATTTTATCGTGTCGGTTAAACTGAATGACAATACATATATTTTATTAATACACTAACAATAGTGCTAAACTAACAGAGTAGGCGTTGCGTCATGCCACTAACAATACTTTGAAGGTTACGCTGTATGTGTCTAATTATAACTAACCTATTTATATTTAACGACAAGTGTACTATAGAAATAGACAAGTAAAGTTCCAGTTATGATAGCATCAGTTCTGTCGGTCATTTAGAGTGGAATCTAAAATATGAAGGACTAAGGACTAAAATCCTTGTTCAAGCTTATATAGTTGACGTAACTCGCCAGTTCAGAACATGCAATTAGCAAGACGTATCGTTTGACCTTTATCCTGAATGGTATACGTACATAAGTTCAGGAAAATTTGAGCCCAATTAGTCCACAAACATTCTCAAGAGGTTTCTCCGAATAAATGTCGTATATGAGGATAAATTTCAATCAATCATGATATTTTATGAACTTCGTATTATCTACTTACGCTGAAGTTAAGCATTGATTTAAAATGGTTTGTGTATTACGGTGATTGTCTGCCCATCTCTCCGTGTAAACAATCCAATTTATTAATATTAACAAGTTTAACGTTGTTTGTTGATTCAATAAATAATTTCCGAGATGCACCTGATATTTTTAATGAACGACCATTAATTAATATTTGGCGTTCGGTTTCATGTAATTAATAAGTTTAATGTGCACATTCATTTACCGGCGCCGACTATGATACGGTACTACCTAGCTGTTTACTTTGATTGTTATTCGATAGTTGTGTTGTGAAATATAAAATTAATATCGGAATTTTTAATTATTTGTTGTACACAAAAGGAAGTAATTGACAATTTATTTTAAAGTGTAATAATTGTTTCAAGTGTAATCATTAATTAAAACGCAATTAATTTTAATAATCATTTTGTATTAAAATTTTGACTTTAATTACTACTTATGTAATGTACTTATGTAATGTATAATTACTACTTATGTTATGTATTAAATGTAATTGCCATTTAACGAAGTAACGTGAGGACGAGACCTTAACACAAGATGGAACGATAATGCAACGGCTGTCATAACGCATTAAGCTAAGTGTTTCTCATCTTAAAGTTTAAAGATAACACTTTGGATTTTCCCTTGAACATGTAACCATAGTAACTTCGCATGGATTGACAATTTGATAGACTATTAAGGATAAGTGTGAGCATAAAATTATACCTTTATACAAAGGTTATTTGGGTACGTTATTTGAAGGGAGCTTTAAAGGGATGTTATTCATGTTACAACATTTATAAATTCAAGACTTTAAATATCGTATACAAAATAAATATTGAATAATCATAATAAAAACTTGCGTCTACGTGAATGATAATGAGTAACCACAGCACAATAAAGTACAAAGCAAATTGATCTGTCCGTCAATTTAGCTAAGTTGAAAATTAGTTTTATTGGAGTAATTGTGTCAACCACAGAATGGAGGGCAATAGGTATAATTCTTATAATTAACTTTGAAAAGACGACAATTACTACGATTTGATTGTTGTAATATAATTTGACGTCGACAATTAAAAGGAAATTAATAAATTGAATATAGTCGTCCCGCGTAATTCACAACAGTGACCGCAGACGAATAAATCTCGTGCGAATCTAGTTATACATATTTTTATTACGTTACATTTCAAAGAGACCCAATTAGTACAACGCCTTTGTGAAAATTTCCAGACGGACCACCAACATGCCTCAATTTTTTGCCTTAATTTGACGAATAATTTAATATAGAAACACTTTCATACTTTTGAATACTGTACTACATACATTTTTCTACAAAAAAAGATTTCAAAATGGCTTCTTTCTAAGTGCTAATACTTCAGTTTAGTAATCATAAAATATTGTGTCCTTCACATCATCAGCTTATAAGTACCCTAAGTAGCCTACTGCTGAGCAAGGGTCTTCTCACACGGACAAGGTTTGAGCATTAATCACCACGCTTGCTCTAGGCGAATTGGCGATTTCCGGAACTTATAATTAGAAATTATAAGTCCAAGTTTCCTCACGATGTTTTCCTTCACCGTATGTCAGTAGTGTCTAAATAATCATAGAAAGTACATATAACCTGAGTTATGTCCTTAATGTTATAAATTGGGTAATTTCTTATTCTACATGACTTAAGCAGCGTTCGATGACCCACGCCTTTTCTATTTTATCATTTTCTGGTTCGTATCTATAGGTTGATGTAAGCAAAACATTCATTGATCTTATTAAGTGTTAACGAATACGTGGAAAAAATACAGTCTCACCTAAAGTAAATCAAGTAAAACGTTATAAAAGCGAATTAATCTCGAGTAAATATGTTATCCTATTTGGACAAATCGAATATCAATATTATTCGATGGAAACCAAAACAAGGAAACTCGGTGATGTGTAATGACCTGTCGTCCATTTATAACAATTGTGCTTACATGCGGACAGATAAATGTACCTGTACCTGGAGGTAGCAATAATGGTGGTACTCACTGATCCGAAGTCAGTACATCGCAGTGAATCAACCGGACAATTGATTTACGTGCTCCGTTGAGTTATACCCTGCGACGTAGTTGGACAGCCTCGCTAAACGAGACTGATCGCAACCTGATACACTGCGGCTGTTGTGATTAATCTGCCTAATGATAGCCCCGTTAATTAGTGGCTGCTGGAGCTCGGTTTATTATTATAGTTATCCTCCACCCTCTAATAATAAGGGTTTGTTCAGTAGGTACGTGATTGACGCGCGATAAATTGTGAACGATTTATCTGATGTCGTTGCTACAAATTAACTAAATTATATAGTTTTCATGTATTTTGAAAAGCAATAAAAACATAAGTTTCCGAAATTAGATTCTCAAAAAATAAATGGAAATGTCTAGAATATTTTATCAGATACACGCAATGAACCAGAAGCCCCAACAACAACAATATGTATAAAACTACTCGATATGTATCAGGACAATATCCCTAGAGCAAAAGTGTCAAAGACGTTGTTCTTCGGCTTCACGTTAACCCCTGTCAAAAGTAGCGAGTCGTCAATGAGAGACAGGCTACACGTCGTGCCTCCCTTCGTCTCTCGGGGATAATAAATCTCAAAGACACACCGTGAGCCCACGCGATACGCACTATACTTGTAACTTGTAAGTACCCATTCCCTGTCTCGTGTCACATGTAGTCGACGACGAAACTTTACGACTGTTCTGATAGGTGCAAATGGCTGGTTTGTACTTTCAGCTTTATTACGGAAATTAATTTTGAAACTAAATATTATATCTGTTACCATAACACTATAGTGTTCCTGTTAATGTTGATACATGACTAGTTACGGCTACACACTAAGATTATTTGGTGAAGAGGGTATTAACAACTCCATAAAAAGATTATGTATAAATCCAGTGGGCTTTTAGATATAAACAAACCTTTTATTAAGATAGCAATCAAGTGAATACTGTCACACAAAATAATATTACGGAATCAAAACGTTTGGCTCATTATCATTGAATCTCTCAAATCGTAGAGTATACATGTAATAAAAGCTTACTGTTCAATGTGCTCCGAGGACCGGACGCCACACGCTTCACACAGGCCAGTGATGTACGCGGTTGTGAAATTATATCCGAATCACACGATTATGTCCCGACCTCGGGTAATGAATGGTTTAGGATTAATTCATGTTTCAATTTCCTGTACTACTGTATGGTAAGCATTCAGAATGTTATTTCAAACATCCAAATTAACGATCTTTAACATTGCTTTATTCAAAATTTAACTTTACAATACATTCAATATCACATCTTTATATATAAAAATGGTTCGCAAAATGTGTTGGTTACTGCATAACTCAACAACGCCTGGACCAATTTAGCTAATTCTTTTTTTGTTGTGTTTGTTATTGTCAGGAGAAGGTTCTTATCAAAAAAAAGTAGAGGGGAAGATTAGAAAAAAGTGACCCTTGATAGCGAGATTGATTAACCCGTGCGAAGCGAGGGCGGGTAGCTAGTAAAAGATAATAATATACAATGATTCCATAAAAATTCACTATTCCAAAATTTAAAAGAAAATCCTATTACTATTGTACGGCAATACGTTGTAACGCGTTCTTGTTGTGACGCGATGAGTTCACAACATAATTTCCACATGAAAAGTTTATAAGAATGCGGATATTCGGTTATTTTCGGATAGAAGAGCGTCCAGCCCCGAACGCCGCTAACGAGCCAATCCCGAAATGGAAGCATTCACGCGTTGCCATCATGGACGCAAAAATCAGACGTTTTTGATGTTTATACCGTGGGCTTTATAGCTTTATACCGTCATGGTGGGTTTATGTTCCCACTCGATCGGTTAGGGTGAGAGGTAATCATAATATGCTCCATAAACATATTTCGGCAGTTTGGTGATCTAATTCAAAAATAGGTCGATTTATATGTAAAAAGTTGCCTGCCAACAATATGTATTTAAAAACGTAGCATTTATTTTTTAACTCTTGACATAGCTGCACGATACACTGATGTTTTAAAATTTTATTTATAGGTACATCAACAGTCAATATCAATATGGACAGTAAGCCCCAGACATATTAAGCGGTGTGTTATTAAAAGTACAAATAACAATACGGTCGGTGATTTCCCGCGCACTATCAAACAAAATTACCGCAATCGAATATTTATGCCATTATCTCACAAATGGATGCTGTCCATCCCGTGGGTACCATCCACACGCCGCTCACGACACCCGAGGGCCATGACAGGACACCTATTTATAACCAGACACTACCATAAATAGAAAATTACCTGTAAGTCTGCCTGAAACTGTAAAAATACCAGAGTTTTATATACCAAGGAAGGAAACAGTTCGCCAATTTCATACAGGAGATTAAACGGAAAGCGAGGCGATGAATCGGAATAAAATTTGTTTCATAACTTGGTTTACAGTTTGTAAGTATGATTTGTTGAATGTTTGTCTAACAATATTGAGAGTTTCACTCGACAATATGTAAACAGAAATGTAATTGCTTTATTGTTGTGGAATGGCGGCAGCTTTCTATTCGTTGATTAAAAGCTGTAAACAATCCGTCGCAAGCACTTGACATCAGTCCCTTCACATGCCACCCTCCGGCCAAAAACCAATCAAGTCATTCCCCTCGATAATCTGGCGAGTGGACAGTTCCATCGTGCCGAGCTGCGAGCACATCTGAGTACATATCGGCGCGCGGTCCATTAGGACGTCCCGCCAATAATTCAAGTCTGACAACTGCATTACAGGTTCCGCTCCCAGAGATAAGCGGCGGTCGGAGCTGCATACAAATGTACTTTGTGATTAAGCAAAAAGGTTTTGGCGAATGCAAATTTTTCAACTGACCTTTTTATTCTGCGGTTACTGAGTAATGTAAGAACTATTTTTGCAAAAGCTTTTTAGAAAAAAATGCATTTCTACTAGACCACAACAGTTTTAATTTTCAAATGGCTTCATTTATTTAAAACAAAAGCTAGCTGGTAATAAATTGGGAAGTATCCCCTTAATTAAGTAGGTAAAGGAAGTGGAAAGCAAAATAGTGGCATTTTATGAGTAACCCGCAATGAAAGTCAAATAAAAGAGAAAAAGAGAAACATATAAAAAGTTTATTGTTTCCTTCGGCAGACAGTCATAAACACCATTGGACACGGCCGCCCGGCTCGCACCAATATTTATTCAAACTTAATTGGAATTGATTAAACCGTAACATGAAAAGCTAATTTGATATAAAAACAGACTTCGTTGACATAATTATATTTGTAGCTGCTCTGAATCAACGATTATTGCATTATTCGAAGTCGCGACTTAATGGAAAACTACTTCCGAATATAAAAATAAGTAAGTACCTACTTATGATCCTGCACGTAATACTTAGTGCGCCCAACTAGACATAAAACAAGAGTATAAATTCTGACAAAAGCAAAACAACTACTTACTTAAAAGGTAGACAAGAAATATTATGTCTCGAGAGTTTCTCAAATAAAATTTCTTATTCTCGAAAACTTGGCAACATTTTTAGATTTTAATTTTTCCAGTTGACGGAACAAACAAGAGCGCGGCAACTCACTTGTGCACATACAAAAATTGTGAATAAAAATATTGTTTTAACGCTTTTATCCAAATTAAATACACCTACGTTAAAACATATTACTTCGCAAAGGTTCCTAATCAGAACTGGCCGCATAAAAGGTATACTTATTAAGTATTCTTTTTTATGTAATTCTCTAATGTACCTAATCCGTTTAATGCAAACAATTTTCTACCTTATCGCACTGAATTTGAGACTGCATTAGCTTCTGTTTTTCTTACGGTCACCGATTTCCTGTTGTAAATAATTTGTGGCGGCTTTATGAATTTGTAAGACTGTTTTTCTTATGTTATTATTTTATTAAAATCGCCGCTTTATTTCTTTGCGGACATGTCTCTGGGCTCACGCGACACTAAGTGGGCCGTGATCGTTTCACAACGTATAATTTTGGATATAAATTAATAGTGTTGATGTGAACATTACTTTCCAAAATACAAAAGTCAACATTTCTTCAGTATAGAAAACAAAGAAGCACTGTTGTTATTAATTATTTTTAAGGTGATGTATCTTGGCAGATAGACGCTCGTGGACGCAAAACAGAGGAGTTGCAAGTGCGCTGCCGGAGTTTTGGAGAATATTAGGGATTGGGGAAGGATAGGAAGAAGGGAAGGATTCGGACAGTTTTTCAACTTAAAGTTTTATAAAAACTAGCGTTAAATTTGGTACACAAAGGTTGAAATAAAAATTATCTTTGTAATTTATACTTATATCCCTTGGGGCGCGGCCACTAATTTTATCATAATGCCAACTAAAATAATTGACGGCTTGATGGCTGAACTTGGCGCTGCTCTACACTGCTCCCAATTTATTCGCTAACGAACGATTTAGATCGTCTAGAATACCCTCATGCTTTCCGACTTTAAGTGGAAGAGTATCAAATTAAAATAATCGATAAGATGATGATGCTTTCATTAAAATTATTGTGTGAAATTAAATGTTAAGATGCTTGAAACATTTTTGGACCAAGATGTTTTGGGCGTTTAAGGCAATATATCCAATATTTTGTAGCACTTTTAAGACTAAGGTATGTGCGTCTGGGATCCAGTACTATTCTATTTTAAGAACTTATAATAAAGTATTATGTTTGATATCGAAAATTCGAAATTTGAAACACAGCTGATGTCTCGAGTGATCAATTACTGTATGCAAAGTCTTCACGCACACGACACTCGTACTCTGTTCCTCATCAGTTTGTAAATGTGATTAGATCATAGACTGTATTAATCGAGGCAGGCTTAAAATATTCATCCGAGGTAGATCGGGACGCCTTAATTGAATCAAATATGTATACAGGAGCAAAACTCGAACCGCCAGGTGAAACACCCGGACCGGACTTATTTCCCTCATGCAAAGTGTTACTCAATTTTACCATCTTCTCTGTTTCTTGCACTTTGTTTTGCAGTGAAAAAAGTCTGGGTTCAAGATTTTATGTTTCATCGTTCGTTCAAATCTGTAACTCCGAATGTAATGCTTGTGTCATTCGCTTATCGCTCATCATCCGATATCATTTACGCCGATGCCGCACAATCTAATCAAAGAATCAAACTAGTGAAGCGCTGGCTATTTAATAAAATAGTACATTTATAAGTGACGTGCTGACCCGGCGAACTCCGCACGCCTAAAATATAATTATTTAACCTTTTAATAACACTGGACTTCAACCAATATTTTAAGACCAAAATTACCCAAATCAATCTAGCCGTTGTCGAGTTTTAGCGAGACTAACGAACAGCAATTCACTTTTATATATGTATAAGAAGAAGACGGAAACACAAGTAGTGCTGTTGGTAGAAAATCCAAATAAAAAATTGAATCATCATAAAGGTCCTGGCTAACAGGTCAGGGTGCTCCAACAAAGCGCCCGTATTATTTGACGTCGCAGTCGGTAGCTCAACGAGTTTTCATTAAATTCTGTGAGTGTTTATGAAAGTTTGACTTCATCTGAATTTACCTCCGAGTGTCCCCGAGCTCACAGTAGCGCTTCAAAGGGGACAGCGGAGACAGGTAATTAAATAATATTGAAATTAAAAGAGCTTCAAGATGTTCGATCGACAAGTTTAACGTTTACTTGTAGATAGCATTCAAATGTGATATTTACTTAGAATTTCTATTTTAAACAATAATGTAGGAGTCTAGAATAGCAAAAACCTTTAGCTTTAAAATTGAAATGAAAAAAGGCTCACTAAGGAGCAGTTCAATCATTTCTTTTGCCTTCAGTAAATCATTGTAATATTGTTAATGGTCGTTGGGTACTGACAGTTTTACGAGTATTTGCAGACCTCAACGAAGGCGTTTCAACAAACCGCATTTTATGTACATTACTCTTAATAAATCTTTGGCTTGGTTTAGGGAAGCGTAAATTGCGCGCGTAACTTACACTTCTTGGGCCACGAAACTAAATAATGATTCTTGTTGCTTACTTGTTTATTGCTGATGTTATTTCATATTGATGTTACAGTACAGCTCTAACCGGTAATAAGGTTTCGTTTTCATACTGCCATCACAACAAAAATCAAAGGAAATAAGCGACAGGTTACTTAAAAATAAAGGTAGGTCTCAGTAAAAAATATTAGAAAATTCAAAACGAAGTTATAAAAGCCGTTTCGGACGTTAAAAAGAAGTTTTATATTCCCGAGCATTAAACCTGTTCTCATAACAATCACTTTAAAGTGCTCGAGTAATGCTCGGAGCGTAGCAATCGCTTTATAGTGCTCGACTTTATGCTCGTGAGACGAATGTTTTTATTATTGAAGTTACTAAAACTTTGACAGAGACCGCTTCGGTTTTATCTTACTCGTTTTATTTGCGTATTCACTGACTATTGTGAATTATTGTGATTTGAAAAATGTTCTGTTCTGCATTTCTTTTTTATTTTTGTTTGGTCCAAAACTAATTATAGCATAATCCAATATCTCGCATGCGATGGAAACGAAAGCGACTGCTTATACCTTTTTGCATATAAAATTATTTCTGTGCTTAGTTATCGCAAATGTCTTGCCAATCTCCTTGTCTTAATCGTCATCACATTGATCTCATTCTCAATATAACAAGTACTAACATTACAAAGCAAAATTTTTTTTTACCAAAAATTCCACAAAGTTTCCTTAACACAACTTATGTTATGTTAACCACACTGGATTCCGTAATATGTACTCACAATATGTGATCATGATTACCATCGATCGCATAACTGGAAACATCGGTTTCGTGCCAAAAATATGAAGCAAGTCTATTACCTCAGTATATGTTCTAAAGTTATTATATGTTAAAAGAAAGAGGTTCCAAGTCGGGAGCCTCTTACAGTAAAAGAATAACTTCAGACTGAACGCGTTTGTAAGGTAAGGTAAGTAATGTAAAAGGTCTGATTTAGAACTCTGCTGTCTAAACTCACAACTACTTTACTAAAAAGGTCCAAAACTTTGTTTATAAAAATATTGTTTACCTGTACGTTCATTACACTATAAAATTACAGTTCCTTTATCGTCAGAAACAGTAAAGTTTTTAAAGGATAACAAGAAAATAATCTCCTAATAAACAATTCAGCAAACACATATATATGTATTACCGATCTTTTCTCTCTCTGTTCAGATGCTCATTAACAGGAACATTGACGCCGTTGTAAGTGCCTGCAATCAGTTAATTGCAGTCCCGTGAATCCTGGTAAAAATAATAACGTCCAGACTGTTTTTCTCGCCTTAAAAGAAAGGAAACACGTAAAAGCAAATAGTGAGCCTTTTGCCGCTACTAACAAGTCCTGTTTAATAATGCAACATGTAGACGAAGCGACGGCCCCCAGACGTCTGCAAGAGATTTGAGTACGTTTGTAACTTGCATACACTTGCTGCAACTTGCACTGTTGAGTTGTAGTAGCAGATATGTGCTGTTTTTTGGAGTCCTGCTTGGCGGTAGCTTGGGCTATATTTATAGGGTTTATTCAACCATAACTACTTGATATAAGGCCTAATTTATTTGTGCACAATTAGAAAAAATAACAAGATAACTCCTCACAATAACAACAATAATAACTCAAAACATTTCGTCACTTCACACTCTTACAAATAAAAGATGTTACGTTCCCCATGACATCAAATATAAGACTTGATTTATTTAGATATTTTGTTAAATAATAACATGAAGATTTCCCACGAGAGACGCTTAAAAAGTTCCCGAGTTAGCAAAGGGGACGAAACACAAAAGTTCCAAAGCATCTGCGACACGAGTCTCGGTGCATGCAAGAAAAAGTTGGCGGAAAAAAAATTTACAAGCTCAAGGAAGTTTCGAGATGTCTGGCTAATGCTGATTCAGGGAGTTTTTATTTTGTCACCCGCTTTAACAAGTTGCCTAGTACGTGTGGGATTTAAACTTGCAGATATAAAACAATAACATAATAAAGATTTTCAAATTTGAATTCTTTTGTTTGTCATTTCCATCAATTCGTTATGTGCATCGGCAAGTATTTTGTCGCTGAATATAGACGAAGCAATACTCTAAAGGAATCGGATTTAATATTAAAAGTTTGATTTTGTACAACAAGTCGTATCCAACCCTGTACTTTGCAGGTTCTAGAGAGACGAGGGCAATTTACCTGGAATACATTATGAGCAAATCAGAAATTATTCACAATCGCAAATCAGGGCTGTATTCGCTTGCAAATACTTTTGTCGTCAGAGTGTCAAAGCCGCCGACGTCGGCGCAGTTCGCTCGAGTTACTGTTTCACGGTTAATTAGTCGGTATCAAAGCCACTGTTTTTTGCAGTTATTTCAGTAAAAACGATCGTTTGATTGCTTTTAAATTGATACTTTTACAATTTTGCGGTTTCGCTGTACGTTTCGCTTTATTCATGGACTTTACTCTAGATTGTTTAATTGAATTGGGACAGTAAATGTATGAATAACTATTGCTAGTGGAATTTCACTGCACTGTACTGAAAAACAGTATAATGGAATTAAATTCAATTTATGCTGGGTTCCCAAAACGTAAATTTGCAGTGATCTGTGAAAACTGACTTTGTATTTATATTGACTAATTCTGTGTCATTGTTGGCAGTGGTGTGGCAAGACTGGCAGGTGCACGTGACCTCGACTCCCTCCGAGGCGGGAGGGCCTGCACTTCTCACATGCGTGGCCCCGGCTGCACTTAGGGAACACTCTTCTGTCGCTGCCTGGTACAGGGACGACTCAGTGTTGCCATCCGCTGACCACATGGGTAAGTAAATTAACTGAGAAAAGCTCTACTAGTTTCAAATGGCTCTTATTACTTTTAACTCTTAGCCGATTGATTGTCTTTAGATGTTGGCTTATTCAGCGGCGTCTATGTTAGGTTTGATTCCCAGATCAGCACAAAATCAGTTCCATGCCACGATTTCTGTGCCACACTCCAAGTTGAGAACGAGATTTTAGATTGACATCGTACATTTGTTGACATTTCCAATAAATTTAATATTACTTCATGATAGTTACTATTCAAAGAGAGTTAACTGTGGCAGGTTGCCTATAAGTTGCTGCAGAACAATAAAATCATAATTCCTCGAAAATATACATTATCGGTTATAATCCAGTGTATTTTACCTGAACGCAGATTTGAGTTCAGTCCCGGTTAGGCACGTACCGTCCGCAGCACTACAATAAACCATTCTTCCCAAAAAGTTCGTTCACGAAGCGAATTTAATTTTACGTAAATTCTACGAAACTTTAAACTCTTGGGGAGCATTAAAACATCGTCTGGGTACAATTTTGTTTTTATGGTGGAATTTAGAAGTTTATTTTTAACTTTCTCTTTAACTATGGAATTTCTTGCATTCTTTTCTGTCATCGCCAGTCCGTTAGAGTCTGGTACTAGGTCTTTTTTGTATAGACTGCAGGGCGTATGCTTTTTATAAAAGCAAGGTATGCCATGATCTTCACACTAGATTAGATGAGCGGGTTAGATGTCGATAGTGAAAGGTATTTTTTACAAGATGTTGCTGCAAATTTGCAGCTAGTATTACCTAATGGTAAGCAATCGGCACTCCCCGTGGTGGCAACACCAGAAAATTTGCAACTTCAAATCGCAAATCTTCCCCCAATTTTGGGGATTGTTGGATAGATGGGGAGGATAACGCTGTGACTGTTTCACGCAGTTTTCTGTGAGCTATGGTCGATCCAGTCTATTTGCATCAAATAATAGCTCTCCCGCATTTAACCCTAGAGAGATAATCTACGTCTTTGAGACGCACAGCCAACACAAATATTGATATCTCTTTTTTATTTCGCATCGTACCGCTCTGTCCTTCTAAGTTATCCCACTGGCCGGGCAGACCTTACGCGAGACGGCAGTGTCTCCCTGGTAAGTACAATAATTACGTAGATACAGGGATAGGGTACGTTCGAGAGACGTATGATTATCCTTTGTGTAACTTTTGAACCTCATTCTCAGTAGTAATAGTTCATTTTATTTATCGTTTTTTTATATTTTAGGTATATATATATATATAGGTTGGTAGGTATATATATAGCTAACAATGATAAGCCTCTAAGTCTCAGAAATTACATGAAAAAGCTTAGCACAGAACTTTTATCACCTTGGATGGAGAAAAGGTTAGAAGCTCCTACTCTTAAAAGACATGTCCGTGTAAATATCCAAGATTTGCTACCAAAAACTAATTCTGTAGATAATAATGAAGAATCAGTAATCAAAAAGAAGAGATATTGTGCGTATTGTCCGTCAAAAATGAGAAGGATGTCGAAAATGACATGAACACAAATCTGATATATGTAAAGGCTGTATCTAAATGTGATTTAAACTTAAAACTTGTTAATTTTTTATATGATACTGTTAATTAGTCCTTATTCTATAATATTAAGTAAAAAAAAATGTGATATTAAGTTTAAGATTAACATAATTACTCAACAAAGGAAGACTTAATATTTTTTTAGTTATTTTGTAAGAGGTTTACAAAATTTCTTTGTTTTTAAATTATAATAATTTTCTAATTGTAATTATGTTTTTATTTGTCGTAGAAAACCCTTAACTAATGATTCAATAACTTTTTAAAAGGTTATTTATGGAAACTTGTCCCATAGCCACTTATAAATGCGAATACGTCTCAAAGACGCATGATTATCTTTACCGTAGGTCAAAATAAGATTATCTTTCTAGGGTTAAAAAGGATTAGGTTTATCAGAGAATACTGCCCGATCTCTGTAAAATACGTTGCAGCTTGGTGGACCAACGACATCCACAGGTAGAGAAAGCGGAAGGGGCTTTTATATGCTCCGCTGTTGACTCGCAAATTTTGAAGCATGAAATCACGAAAATTATTATTTTTTCACATATATTGAATGGATTATTTTGTCCCTCGCAGCTGGCTCCACGCTGCTAGTGGACGAAGGTTGGCGGCTCATCATCAGGTCCGTCCGTGTGGAGGATACCAGGGCACAGTACTCGTGTTCAGTCCTCGACTCACTCACTGGCGAGAGACGAAGAAGCTCGCCAGTCAACATTGATGTAGCTCGTGAGTATTTTACACTTTATTTTAAGAGTTTACAGAACTGCCCACTTTAAATAATTAGACATTCGTTTTCATAGAAATTAATACTTAATTTACAAATACAAAGGCGACTAAAGCGTAATATACCTATATAACGCTTTAGTCGCCTCCAATTTGGATGGATTGAAGAACAATTGGAGTTTTAATCTATACGAATATTTATATTTAATATTTATTCTAATATTCGTTTCGACTGCGCGGTTGGTGCGGCGGCTGGGCAACTGGCTACCGTGCAACGTGTCGCGGGTTCGATTCCCGCACGGAACAACTCTTTGTGTGATCCACAAATTGTTGTTCCGGGTCTGGGTGTCATGTGCATGTTTGTAACACCCACGACACAAGAGAAAACACTAATGTGACGCAACGTTTTTTTTTTTAATAAAAAAAATATAAAGAGGAAACATTTACATATTTTGGCAAATCTGGTCAGACTTCAAAAATTCTGTTTTCACTGATATATAGCTACAATCTTCTTAAATGCTATAGGCTATTAAACATCACGCTACGACCAATAGAAACCAAGCAGCGGGTCTCCCAGTGGCAGTAGCTAGTTTTGGAATAAAACCTTAGTTTGTAATCACATGGAACTTTTATAATTATGTATACTAATATTATAAAGAGGTAAAATTTGTAAGAGTGTATGTTTGTAAGGTTGTATGTAGGGGGTAATTTTTGGAACCGCTAGTTGGATTGCCAAAATTCTTTCAACAATAGTTAGCTACAATATTCCTGAGTGCTATAGCTACAAAACATCACGCTACGATCAGACGGAGCTAGGCAGCGGGTGAAACCGCGCGAGAGCAGCTAGTTATTATACGTTCGTAAGTTTGCTGTATAGATACTAGTGCTGCTTGCTAAATTTACCTTCCTCTTTTACCTATACCTTAGAAGTTTAATACTTTAACATTATTTAAACCATCAAATACAATAATCATTAAAATCTTCGACAGCTATGAGCGTGTCATCAGCTCCACGCGGCATCTCGCACGGCCAGTGGGAGGCCACGGTACGGCGAGGTGGGGATGTGGTGCTCCCCTGCCTGGTGCATGCCAACCCTCCTGCCACCATCACGTAAGTACATCAATTATTAACTACTACCATTAACTGTTCTTACAGGAATTACAGACGAGATTTTACACCAAGGTGAAATGGTTCAGCTGATTATCACTATTAATATAAAATGAAGGGTGTATTTTGCTGAACAAAACACGAGCCCTTAGGCTTTACAACCCTCTACTTGCTCCCAACGACTACCAATGACTATGACGATGTCGTCAGTCCACCTGACGAGACATACACTGACGAAATGTTTAGCTATAATGCTTAATGGGATTGCCCCAACTAGGTCTCCTATGCTTTTTAAAACAGTCTTTTTACTGTAGATAGGGCAAATTTCTTTAACAAAAATTAACATTACATTATGCGTTATATTAGGTGGTATCATATTGATGTTAATCAAATCTCTTTGAAATTGTAAGATGTTAATGTCGTTTAAACACGTTTATTTTATAGTATTGTTTCTCGATAATAACTGATTTTATTATTCGTGAATGTGCCTTCGCTAAATACTAATTTGAAAATACAAAATACCAAGCCCTTAGAGGTATTTATTAAAATCATTCTTTTGAATTTAAAGCAATTAATCTTAGTCCATCCTTTGGCGTGATGTAGCTGCAGCAAGAATGTCGAATATCACAATACTATTTTTATTCCAGTATCCCATATATCAAAACCAGTGCAAACAAAAACGAAATATTTCAGGATACGAAATAAAAATCCTTCTTTGTGCGCAGCTATATTTGTTTTCTATTGGATTGCAAAAATATGAATAAAAACCCAATAAAATCTTTTAGTCGCCTTTCACTAACAAAACCTATCGAGTGGTGAAACGTGAACAGTATAACCAATTCATTTGCTTTCCCCGAGCAAACAGGCCAGGGTCCAAGCTAATGTAGGCGGGGACTGCACCCAGGGGACTCGTAACTACCAACTACCACAGGAAAACTGAGAAAAATAATGAGGTAATACCGACCTAATATAACCTCACTTTATAAAACTAGTCTCTATTTTCTTCATAATAACGTTTTAAATACAATAACAGAGTGTATTTAACAATTAAGAAATTCAACAGTATTTTACAACGGAATTATTTGGTTCGTATTTCTGAGTTGAAACAATGGGTGTTACTGGCACATGAAGCGTTTCCCACAACTCTTTGGTCTCAGTTCCATATTTACTCGTAATCGCATCACGTTTTATAGTCCCTCATGCAAATTCATTATAAATTGTTAAATACATTTGATAGAAGTGTGGCAGGGCTAAGTTTCGGCACGAATGGTTCGGCTTGACTGGAGTGATACCGCAACCTCACAGAAAACCGGCCTGAAATCCTTCCCAATCCCTAAATCTCCAAAACCCTAATCCCCAAAAGGCTCGAACCAGAGGCAGGCAGTCCTCCAATGGCGTCTCCGATTGGTTAACTTAAAAAAAGAATTTTAGTCATTAACGATTGGTAAATGATTGTTACAAAATATGTCCTTGAATTATACCTAAACTATCTTGTCGACAATCTCATTATTTAGATAATAATGAAGACAAGTCTTGTTCGACAAATGCCAATCAATTAAGCTTCAGGCGATTTCAAGGCTAATTAAAATCTTAGATCTATAACCAGACTGACAATTCAGTACTACGCAATACATAAAATTACTGGACTAACGATATAAAAAACCATACAATATATTTATGAAATTCCAGAAAACCTGTAAGAAAATTAACTGAAAAACAATATTTTTGGACATGCTACCCAACAACAAGCTTCGAACAAACCGCTCTACCTACGTAAACGTAGTAAGTTAGTAACTATAAAACATAGCTAGGTACATGCATACGTATTATGCATATATTTCAAAACAATATGTATATTATACTGGACATAAGTCCAGTTATGGATATTAAACAATATATAGATGGAAATTAAGATCTAACGTTATCAATTCACAGTATTTGAAAAGTATAACATGAACACGGGATTATCCGAATTTTTCGAATAAAATATTTATGTATCGTTTGTTATTATTCGGATTTCATTATTAACAAACACAATAATCATTATTATTCCAATAACAATAATAAAATCGATCAAAAAAGGAGAAACTTAAATTTTGCGTCCACGATTTTTTTATATTATAGGCTGGCAAACGAGCTGACGGATTACGTGATGGTAAGAGATAAGAGTTACGAGTGCATTGCCAACCTTTTAGGGATTACGGTTTTGGAAATTAAGGGATTGGGGAGGGATAGGGGGAGTGGAAGGATTGGGCCTGCGGTAACCTCACTCACACGGCGAAACACAACGCTGTGGTTGTTTCACGCCGGTTTTCTGTGAAGCCGTGGTATCACTCCGTCGACCCATTCGTGCCGAATCATGGCTCTCCCACACTTGTTGTTTTCGTGAAACCATCAGTAAAGTATTATTTTTACTAATATATAATTTGCTGTGAAATAAAAGATATAATTTCCTCATGAAGCCTAGTTCATAACAATAGGACCTTATTATAATAATATATGGAACTCGTAAAAGTGGTGTATCTATTCGGAATCTCTGACTATTCTTGGGTAAAAATCAATCGCGTCATGTTTGGGAACTCATAGTTAAGTTTCTATTCAATTCTGTGATATACCTAATATTAATAAAATTAACTATTTTGGTTCAAATAACTAAGTATAATTTATCACAAACACATGCAAAATGACATATTATTATACCCACTTTTAGAACTTCAAACTGGCATCTAATAAAAACTAAAACAAGTTGCAGGATTCAGAGATTAATATGAAAACACATCACATTCTAAAAACATTTTAATTTAATTTAAAAGTTGGAGCAACTAACGAACTCCTGAAATAAACATTAATTAACGCAAGTGTTGGGAACATTTTACAAAAATATATTACAAAGTTGCCAGTGCAGTTGGTGCTCAAAGCCACTTAAATCAGAGCTTCTCTAGCTCACACGAATGCACGCACACAGCCACGCCTTTGTTTGTCGGATATATGACAAGACCACTGCTCACATGGGCACTGGTTTTGTTTTGAAGCTGTATTATATCTGTTATACATTCCAACCGAATTGTTCTAGGCATATCTATTATGACTGTGTTGTATGTCAATAGAACTTACTCTAAAGAACTTCTATAATAATATATCAATGGCAGAGACAGAGCTTGCCTTAAATATCGAGTGAGGGGTTATGTTCTATCTTCATGTTGAATAACTAATAATTAATTTTTCATTTTTTTTAAATATAGATTTCACAATGTGCGAAGTTATGAGATGCCACAGCACAGTACGAAATTTTGCTATGTTTTTTTTATCGTATAGGTCAGCAAATGAGCACATGGATTACCTGATGGCAAGCATTCAGCACCACCTGTGGACACCCGCAACACCAAAGGAGTTACGAGTGCGTTGCCGGCCTTTTAGGGATAAGGGTTTCGGATATTTAAGGAAGAGATAGAGAGAAGGGGAGGGATTGGCCCTCCAGTAACCTCACTCATACGGCGAAACACAACGCTGTGGTTGTTTCACACCGGATTTCTGTGAGGCCGTGGTATCACTCCGTTGGAGTCAACCCAATCGTGCCGAATATACATATAAACGATGTACAGACATAAGTGGCCAAAACGCGGGTATGTACTATATGTATGTATGTACAATTGTGCATCCATCAATAACTCCCACACTGCAGATATGAGTACTCCAACTCCCATATTTCAATCTACTGTTACTGTTTGATCCGCGACCATATACAACAGGACGCGTATTTCCACAATTTATTTTTAGAAATATAAAATACACATAGATCTATGTTCTAGAAAAACTTTTATTCCAAACTGGAATTCTGTGGATTGTATGTTTTTTGTTTATTATACATAGTTTGCAGTATGTTACCACTGTATAAATGTAGGTCATAACTCACGTATTTTGAAGTAAAATGCGATTTACCGATACCATACATATAATAGGGTGTAATTCATGGGCTGTAAACGAAAATTTCACTGAACAGTACATATGTGCTAATGGACTACCGTAAAACTTGTTTGTTAATAATTCCAAAAACCTATGTAATTATTATGCAAAAAAACAAAGATTTTATCATTATCGGCATGACATTTAAAAAGAAAGCGTTACTTTCATCGCAACCTTTTGAACTGATACAGCAGATACTACAAAAACATGTATTTTATTTGAATTCTTTTATCCCTGCATAAAATATGAGAATAATTTTACGTAGAAGTATACAAAGTTTTATTATCTATTCCCCATTTAGATAAAGTTGATTAATATTATTATCTTGTAAATTACGGCCAACAGGCAATTTCCATTACTCTTTGCGGGCTATCAACATTTTTATCGGGATATTGGCAGGAAGCTCGCGCTTGGCTTGCGAGGATGTCAGCAATAAATCATTTCTATTCGAAAACAAGCCAGCACGAAAATAAACGAATAATAGCTAAACTTTGGTGTTAAACACGTCTTATGTGTGCTGTTTGAGAAATTTATGGCTAATACATACTTTTTAGTAGATTATATTTTCGAGTATAAAAGTATCTTCCAGCTATGTATGTTCTTATTAATGTACTGTGTATACTGTATGTAACATCATAAAATTCTCTCACATCATAATTATTATTTTTCCAAACTTGTCACATTTACAAAAACAATCCGTAATCCCCTTAATTTGCATGTCTCTGCAAACAACATTTGTATGGAACATTTGTTTTTCTAATTAACTCAACGTATGGTTACATTTCTTGTCCCGTGTGTAAGCCGACTTCGCGTCAAGTGTGAGTAAGCGTGGGTTCCGTCGGGTTTTTGTGCGAGGCGCGCTGAACCCTCGACTCGAGCGCAATTTTTTATTTTGAGTATTTTAACCCTTGTCTGTCTGCGTATCGTGTCGCTCCCAATTACGGTGACTGAGTGCCCGTTGTTACAAACCTCTTTATTTTTATCAACAATTGTGCTCTATTCATTTGTAAAAGGGTAAGTACATCGATCCCCTGGCACAA